AAACGTCACCGAAGCCACCTTCTCCTGCCGCAAAGCTGACTTTAATTCGGGGAGCAGCACTTTTAGGGGCCGCTCTCCCGCTTTCCTGCCCTTTTTCCACCTGTTCCAAACCAACCCCCCACCCGGCGCTCCCGCCATCGGAGCCTCCCCAAGCCGGCGGGTTTCCCCCCGCGCGGATGACGCCCTCGCAGGCACCACGCCGTGACAAACCCGTCTCGCGAGGAGCAACGGCAAGGCCCGGGCGGGGAAGGAGGGCAGAGACACGGCGCAGCATTTCACGCGTGTTTGCTTTCGGGGTTAACCTTCCCCCCACTCGGGCCGGGAGCTGCGCCGCAGCTCCAGCCCCTCGGCACATCCGGACACGCCAAGTTCCAAATGAACAGGGACCCGAAACACCCCCACGGCTCTACCTGGACTCGATTGAACTATTTTGCAATTGTGAAGGTTTTCACTTCGTTGAAAAGCTTATTTTTAAAGCCTTTCTCCCCCCTTCACCCCCTACTCCTCTGGTTTCAGCAGCAATTTTAGCTTTCAAAGCAGCAAACGTCAGTCAAAATATTTCGGTACAGGTTTTGCTCAGTCCTTCACTAATATTTTTCCTCCGTTAAGTCCCTTTCTAAGAGCTACGGGGTTTTGGCATCCCATCTTGTAGCCCTGTGGGGTAAATAACGTCGTATTGGGACTTCATGGAACAAACCTGGGTTGTTTGTTGCGTTTTTTTTATTTGTTTTTCGATTCTGCATTTGCTTAATGTTAGTGTTTGAAATACGCCACGGGAAAACTTGCCGGCAGAAATACTCGCTTGCATTTTCACTTTGTTTCCTAGAAAAGGAGTCAAACTTCTCCCGCTCCCAGAAATAAACACCGCCAAGTAAGCGTCGGTTAAAAGAGGAGCCGGCGCAAAGCAGCTGTCATTTTAGATGTGACTACACTTCAGTTTTGTTTTATACAACACCATATTGCTGGGCAGCCGTTTTGGGAAGCACCCCTTACGTTTAGAAAAGGAACCGTGTTCAAGTTCGATTCCTACCTGTTGTACCTTTTAAGCCAGGATTACCTGTAACACCCGTCACGGAGAGTCACCCAGGCTGACTGCGGCTCTGGGAACTCACAATACGGGCTGTGATTAATTTGAAGATTTCAGAATAACACTGTTATAAAAGCTACACTCCAGACAAAAACAGGATTAAGCTCTGAGGCTGTATATGAGCTAAAAGTGTTGAAAGCTAAAGCCCCCCCTCCCAACATGCCACCGCTTGCGATGGGCAGTTTAAAACGGCAGAGTTTGCTAAATTCACGTAAAAGTAGAAATGTTTTAAATTATTCATCTTCGCTGCCTTCATATTGTCTTTCCTCCACCCCCCCTCCTTCAACTGATAATTACTTTGAGCAAACAGGCGGCCAGTTCCCATAGAAATGCTCTAATAGAAATGGTTGAAAGTTCTCATAGTAACACCTTCCACCTCGCCACTATAATAAATAAGCCTGGCACTTTGATGAAAATTAACACTAGTTTTGTAAAAAGCACATTGGGGGATTGCAGTCAGGTCTTATCTTTAGTTCCAGTCAACTAGCAATCCTGAAAGAGTTTGCATCATCATCAGAGCAGGCCATTTGATAGGATTCTGCTGCTGA